TGCTATTTGTGAGCTCGGTTATGACACACGGAAGACATAAAACTCTTCCAAAATTTAAATTTGACTCCTTGAAGATTCTTGCACCAGAACCCAAGATTTTGTTGGTTTATTTTTTTTAAGAATTGCATTTGCATTCATTTTATTTATTTGTTGAGGCCGCCCAGACTCTTTCCTGCTTTCTGTTAAGATGGGGATAGTAAAGAAAGCAAGAAGAGGGGAGTAATGTAAACCTCCTCCCTTTGGGAGTTTGTCTGAATGGAAAGTAAGTAAAAACTTTAAAGAGAAAATCTTGGGCTTTGAACTTTAACCCTCAGAAGTGTAGGTTGTCTCATTGTTATAGGCCAAAGGAAAGTTTAAATCACTTATCCAAAGTTACTGTTTCCCAATATTTCTTGAGGGCCATCTTTAGGGCTTCGTGCAATAAATAGCTTGGATATTCTTGCATTGCAGTTGCAAGATTGAAGATGGTAGCGGCTTGCAATGCAAGGGAAATGCTGAAGGCTAGGAACATAGGACGTCATCTTATGCCAAGGATACCATTGGTCCATCTAGCTTAGTACCACATATATTGACTGGCATTGACCTTTCAGTCTTCCCATCCCTCTCTGTGGTTCCTGGCACTGAATCTGGGTATCCTTTACTTATAAAGAATTCGACCTTCCCCTATAGGCTGAGCTACAGCCTTTAAACAAGATGACTTTTGGAAGTAGTGTTCCTGTGTTCAGAACCATGCAAAAATAGGAAGGGATGGGTTAACAGGAATGGCTAGCAGTCTCCGCTGAGCATGTTACCATTGCTATAGTTGGAACTGGACATGGATGGAAATCCCCGGTGAACCACAATGTTCAGTGGTGTACGGCTGGCATTTTCTCTCACCCTAATGGACCTCAGAGTTGTTGCATGGCTAAAATTGGAAGACTGGGGCCATGTGCCTTGACAATTTGGAGGAAGGTTGGAATGGGGGGCGGGGGGAAGAGCTGCTCACCAATTAGTGATTGTGCAAGTCTTGACACACCAAATTTAAGGGCTCATCCTAAGCGAGTTACTTTCCTGTTGGTTGTATCTGTCTTACCCATGTTATCTACTACATCTTTGTTCTAGAATGGAGACAGTTCTGGCCAACTGCTGGGTTTTGTATTTTCAGAAACAGGAGATCAGCTATTTGCCTCTTCTGCCACCAGTCCTAGGGTGCAGCCTAAAATTACCTAGCAATCTCTTCCCACCTCACATATGAAGACACTACAGCCTTGCTTTCATTTTTACTTTGCCAGCTTGCTTCATAAAGAATTTGGGGAAACTCCAAAGTTTGCCCACTATTCCATGAGTTTGCATCAGCTTAACAAAAACAGTTTCCTGCAATAGGTTTTGGAGTCTGCTTTCTGGCTAGTGATGCTGCCTTTGATTTAAACCCAAACATTTTCTCTTCTCTTCCTTGTACTCTTCTTTTTCTCCTTCTCCCCCCGCTCCCCAGGTCTCCCTTTCCCCCCTTCTGAGTCTATAATTCCTGTAACACATTGAGTCTTTCAAGAAAAAAAAAATCCAAAGTGAGGGGGTCTATTATGCCTTTCTGGGAACTAGCCTCAAAAATCTCCTCCCCCCATCCCCAGAAAAAAGAGGGAAAAAACCTAGGGAGACTAGCTTGTGTGTTCAAAAACAGTGGGAGGAATTGCTTTGGACTGAAACACAGCAAGTGCTGCATCAAACCCGGCTGCCTTATGCGATGAAATGTTCAAAGTACAGTGGAGATAGATAAAGGGCTTTGATGGGAAGTGGATATTTCCCAGGGACATTACAAGCAATAATCCAGATGTTCTTCTGTAATGCAACGAGTGTCCATGGATAGACTAGGAGTTTCTAGCCAAATGTGGCCGGCTGTAGACTTTGGCCCCTTCACTCCCCTGCTGTCTGGCCATATGGAAGCAATCTCCCGGTCCTTTTTAATGACCAGCCTTAGATTCCATTTTCATGGACCCTCCCAGAGCTTAAGTGGGCCTGTTTTTATGGACAAGTTAGGAAGAACACTTTCCAAGACAAACATTCAATTCGAAAAAATTAGGACGCACCAAGCTGCACAATTATTTTAGAACATATTTCACGGAAGTGCAGCCGTTTCTGTTGGGCAATTGGCCGATCGCAGTTTGGACCTTTGATCCTTTGCTGACATTTCTTTTTTCCTCTTTTTTTCCCCCTCCCCTCTCTCTCTCTCCCCCTCCCACCTCAAAGGGATAATCGAAAGGGAAAGGGCGGGGGGAAGGAGTTTGCTGCTCTAAGGGGAAAAAAAGATCTGTCGGAACTTTGAAGTATGTTCATGAAATAGATGTATTAGAGCTGTTTTGTCCTGTATAAGAGACAGAGAGAGAGAGAGGGAGAATAATTAAATAAATATCTATAAACGAAAGTAAGTTGCAGCTGTATTTCTGAAGCAAAATCAAGTTTTCTTTCCAAACCTAGGAATTTTCATTCCCTGTTTAAGGCAAGCCGAATGGTCTCCTTTACATGGAATTCTGTAAGTGTATGGAAATATAAGGATGTATAGGGGTTGCACAGGGAATGGCTTCTTTAACCCCTAAGTGCTATTTCAATGTGTTCTGAATGAGAGCAATGGCAGCTGAACAAGTCTCCCTTTAGAATAAGAAGAAGGGCTTTGTGTTCAAAGCCTTGCCAATGCCAGAGAGATTCCCTTATTAACTCTGAACAGGGCTGTACTCCCCCTAGCAGGGCTGGTTCACAATTTGGAGATTCTCTTGGACTCATCACATCTGCTCCTGCAGCTAAGAGGGCCTTTGCTCAGCTCCATCTTGTGCACCAATTGTGACCTGTCTTGGAACAGCGGATATTACTCGCTGTCACTCATGCCTTAGTCATCTTTCAGTTGGACTATGGCAGTGCGCTCTACATGGGGCTGCCCTTGAAGACCATTCAGAAGCTACAGCTGGTCAGAACGCAGTGGCTTGAATAATGATGGTTGCACCTCCAGGCACCTGCATAACATTTCTAGTTTAAGAGCTGCACTGATTGCCCACTGGCTTCTGGGTGCAATTCAAGGTAATGCTTGCCATCTTTAAGCCTGTCCTAATTTGGGGCCTGGGTATCTCTGAGACCACCTTCTCCCAGTAACATCTGCCTGCCCAGCAAGATTCCCTTGATTAGGTGCCACATAAGTGTACCATCTCAGTCACTGCCCCCATCCTCTGAAATAGCGCTCCCCCTTGATGTGCATTCAGCCCTTTTCCCTCCTGCCTTTTAGAAAATTGGTGAAAACCTGGTGGTTCCATCAAATCAGGGTGATTGGTTTGTTGTAACTTCCTCTTGGGTCACGAGATTGGGTCTTTTATTGTTATGGTTAATGCTTTCATTCATGATTCCCAGTTCCATAAGAACATTATGTAGGTTTTTTTTTTTTTACACTGACTATATGTTTAAAAACCAATGACACTTTGGAGAGTTGTATGCTGCTCAGTGTTGGTAGATTGGAGTGGCCAACCAACTCTGTAAATAAATAAACAGACCAGCCTCTATTTGGAGCTATTCCTCAGAGCTTTGTCCTGTTGATAAAAGGGGTTTTAATAATCTCAGAGCAATGATAAGCAGGATTGCAGGGCTGGAGAAGCTGTTGTAAAAAGGAGTTCAAAGTGTGTGGGAGTTGGCAAACAATTCCAAGGAGGAGAAGAAAGGAAGGTAGTAGAAATAGCTAATGTGGCTTTATAAAAAGCTTAGTGGAGATCTGAAAACAAAGAAGGATGCTTTGGAAGGAAGTATAGGAGGGACGGGTTACCAAGGAACTTATATGTAGCCTGAAACTCTAGCACTGATGTCAGGAATGTAAAGCTCAGAATGGGTTGAGTTTGGTGAAGGAGTCCAAGAACACTCCATTTCAGAATAAAGTAATTTGTACATCAATTATTTAGCAAAGGTGGCAAAATGCTAGCCGTTGGCAAGGAAGAAGGCAGAGGACTCTTCCTTTGGCTCAATCTTCTCCAACAAGAGGGAATGTCTTTCATCAGAAAGGCAAGATTGAAGCCTGAGATGGATAGAAACAGAATCAAGGAACATCTCAAGTTAACTCATCAGTGGAGCCACTTCTCCAGAGAAGAGATGGCTGCCCTTCACTGGAAGTGTTCAGATGCAGGCTGAATCAGGGATGCTTTAATTTGGATGCTTGGACCAAACCGGGGGCTGCATGCAAGGGCCTTGTAGCTCTCTGATTCTAAGCACATGGAACCCTTGAGTAATTTCACCCTTGATGGCCCATCTGTGATTTGGGAAGCATTGCATTTAAACAGTAGGTGCTGCCATTAGGCTGTCGTAGTCACAAGGGATTGAAAGTGTGGGTGAATTTATCTGTAATCTTAACAAGCATACATTCTGAATTGGCTAAAAAGTTATATACATTTATACCAGGACTGACAGTTGGTGGTGGTGGGGTAGTAGTCAGCTTTGGGATGTTGGGAAGATGCTGTGGAGCACTGAAGCAATTCATTAAAATTTTTTTTTTTTTTAATTTAATCAATTTATATAGCCACCCAGCTCACGATCATGACTCTGGGCAGCGTACATAGGATTAAAACCAAACCAACCAAATGTATTCAGTCAGTCAGTCAGTCAGTCAGTCAGTCAGCAGGTCAGTCAGTCACCTTCACTATCTTGTTGAAATGACTTTGGGTGTTTTAATAAGAATAATGATTTAATAATAAGAATAATGACAGCTGAAGACAAACCAGGAAGCACAAACTCGCAGTGATGGGCATACTTAACCTCCAAACGTCAGGCCTGTGGGAACATCCAGGAGATCAGTCACATTAAAAGACAAATTAAATATACCTTTTTGTACTTTTTCCCTTTAAAAATGTAAATAAATGCAGAAACTGGGTGGAACAGCTTGTAGATGAGTGTATGGAGAAGTATCAGAGGCTATAAATAGAATAATTTGGTTTTCCCTCTTGGGTGAGGCTGTACAGTCCTGTTTTCAGGTTTGAAAATGCTATTTTTCTCAATTTTAGGCAAGCTTCATGAGAACCAGCAGGCTGGTAGACACGTTGCAAAAAAACCAGTTGTGGAATGGGACAGTTACCATTGCTTTACTGGAAGGAAGGAATATTCCCATGGGGGGCATGACGCAAATCTTTGTTTTGTTGAAAATGGGCCAGGAAAAATTCAAAAGCAAGGTAAGTACGACTGAGAAATGTCTGCTACTAATTGATGTGATTTGAAGCAAGTGTGTTCACACAGGTGTCCATCAAAAAGTCAGTCATTCCTGGACTATAATTTAAGACACAGATTTGTATCACACCACAAATTGGAGTTTGTTATGTATAGAGTCTCTACTGCAACCCTACAGAAAGTTAGATTTCTAGTACTGATTTAATTTATTGTTGCTTATAGTTTTACATAACGGTTAACCAGGTATTCTTAGCTTAAAGCTTAATGGAGACTTTCAGTTTTTCTTTCACAAAATAATATGTTGTATAATTTTGCAAGTAATGAATGATATATTGGAAAATTCTAGATTTTAGATCCCTTGTTTATTTACTCATATTCCACAATTTCTATGGTATCCTTTTATTCTTTTTATATGTCTTTTGGTTCTTCTTGTCTACATTCTTTCATTAAAATGTTGAATAATAACCTCCCCCCCCCCAGTTTTCTCTGTATTCTTGCTGCCCTGCAACACCAAATTAGAGTGAGGGTCAACAGCACATCACTGTATTACTGTATGTGAAATTCAAGGCAATCTCCCCCGCCCCCCAAAAGGAGATTGTGGGGCTTTTCTTCAGGGTAATGAGTGAGAGGGGTTTTATTATACTCTAATTAAAAAATGCAAGCTCCTAGGATCTTGTCTGATCGATGGAGCAAAAAATATGGGCCCTCCATGGGAGAGATGACAAGGATAGGAGATAGAAGCAGCAGCAAGTGCATTAAGTTTCTCTTGGCTCTGAAGGATTTAGAACCTTGCATCTGACAGGCAGAAGCAACCTTCTGCTTGATCCCCTTCCAGATGAGTCCATTTCAATTCCCAGAATTCCCCATCCAGCATGGCTCCAGCTAAGAATTCTGGGCTTTGAAGTCCATGCACCTGGAGGACATCTACGTGTCCAGAATGCTGAAATCAGAAAACAAACAAAACTGAAAATTACCAACAGTCTTGTTTAGTGACAAGTTCACTCATGGCACAAGCTTTGTGGGCTCCTATCCCTCCCTAATCCAAACACAAAGTCCCTTGCCAATGGCTATACTACCCATCATGTTCTGAGCCCCCCAAAGCCTTTGTGTTTAATAGGGTAGTTACATTAACCCTATTAAATACGTTTGGATTTAATGGCATGAAAACAAATGTAGCTTTTGCCCCATCTTCCTGTGTCTTGTGCAGCAACTTGCTGGCTCCCTGGAGATGCAAGAGAGCGTGGCCCTTTGGTTTGTGTGTCAGAAGTTTAAATTCTCCCACATGAAGTATAAAAAGTGTGTTTCCCTCCCTTCCTGCTGTGTTGCAGAAGACAGCTGTTCACTCTTCATACTTGTGGTTTTTAGAGTCTCCCCTCCCTTTTTGGGGGGGGGGTGTACATTTTTTTAAAAAATATGAAAGCTGCAATCTTTTGAAAGAACAATAAATCTTATAACTGCATGTTTTCTAGACACTGTGTAAGAGTGCAAATCCACAGTGGAGGGAACAGTTTGATTTTCACTACTTCTCTGACAGGAAGGATGTTTTGGAGATTGAGATCTGGGGGAAAGACAACAAAAAGCATGAAGAAATTTTGGGAATGTAAGTTGGCTTGCTTTTTTTTTTTTTTTAATTAAATGTATTTTGGAAAGCTTTGGAAGACAACGTAGCATGTGGCTCTCTAGATAGCTCTGTGATATCTCTCTGTGGTGTAACGTTTTAATGGTTGCAGTTTTTCCGACAAAGGAACCTGGGAACTGAAGCTTCTCAAAATCTCATTCAGGCATTTTGTGGGTCAGCAACAGGACTGAACTCACAGGGCTTCTAATTGTGCAGAACCCTGCATTGGAGGAGCAACTCCAAAATAATTCTGTATGATGTAGCGGCAAAATCCAGACAGATCCGAAGAGCTTCCCAGGGTGGGCAGAAACATGGTTGTCCTCTTCCACTATATTCTTCTCCAGCAACCTGTCCTTTTGGCATCCTTCTGTGATTAAGAAAATAGCAACTAGTTATCGAAGTATAGACAGTCCTCACTTAATGACCATTGTTTAGCAATCATTCAAAGTTACAATGGTGCTGAACAAAGGGACTTACAACTGGTCCTTGCACTTACAACCATCGTAGCACCCCCGTGGTCACATCACAATCCAGGCACTTGGCGACCAGCTCGCACGTACAATGATTGCAGCATCCTGTGGTCATGTGATTGCCATTTGTGACCTTCCCAGCTGGCTTCTGGCAAGCAAAATCAGTGGGGAACTGCGTAATCCACCTAACGACCATGTGATTTGCTTAACGGCCATGGTGATTCTCTTAATGATTGCTGCAAAAAAGGTTGT